AGTAGTATCATTATCATTATTACTATTATTATTATTATTATCATCATTATCATTATTACTTTACTCTTATTATTATTATTATCATTATTACTATTATTATTATTATTATTATCATTATTACATTATTACTATTATTATTATTATTATCATCATTATTACTATTACTATTATTATTATCATCATTATTACTATTACTATTATTATTACTATTATCACTATTATTATTATTACTATTATTATTATTATTATCATTATTATTATTATTATTACTATTATTATTATTATTATCATTATTATTATTATTATTACTATTATTATTATTATTATTATTCTTACTATTATTCTTACTATTATTATTACTATTAGTATTATTATTACTATTATTATTATTATTATTATTACTACTATTATTATTATTATTATTATTATTATTATCATCATTGTTATTAATATAACCAAATGATTAGTTGTAAGTTCTATTTTTCTCCATCAATTGCTCCACCAGGTATTATCTACTTCTGGCAAAAGAAAAGAGCAATGACACGAGTCTGTACAGGGTCAAGGTATATGGGTTTTTTTTTCGTACAAGCAAGAAGAAACAGAAACAAAAAAAAAGCCAATGAGAAAAACGGGAAACAACAAACTCAATCAGAAAACAAAAATGCGGAACATGCCTGGTTTCTTCCATCCTGAAACATGGAAAAAAGACACAGACTCTGACAAACACAATTTCCATTTGGTTTTTTTTTTTTTTTTAGTTTTAAAACTTACAACAACAACAACAAAAAAAAAGAAAAAAAAAGGTCGTTAACTCTATACATCTATTTCAACACTCTTTGAACCAGGTTGCAAGCAGAAATCGAGCGCTGAAGAACAAGATTGTAATTAATATAATCCTACAGCCATTATTTACACAACTTAAAGACAATTTTTTTAAATAGTAGAGGGTTTTACGGCGCTTGCAACTGCATAAGGTCATAAGAACGCCAAGGGGTGGGTGTCAACAGAGAAGTCTTTACAGGGAATCAGACTTACTCTGCTCACCTCTCTAGCTTCAACAGGACAAGGTCTGCTTCGACTATCAAGGCACCCCGGAAATAGCAGGTCACAAGAGAGTGACAAACATACAAAAGAAGTAGAGGAAAGTGACAATAGTAAGGATTAGGAAAGAAAAAGCAGCAGTCCCCTGTTGTAGATCAGGAACAGTTATGAGCGTGACATTGATGAATCAGCCCATTTACAACTCTACTGTGCTTGAACAAGAAATGTCCCCCCTTTGGGAATGGCCTAAAGACTCTACGGTCAGTGGCGCCGCCCCGGGGGGTCACTACAGTCAGTGGCACCGTCCCGGGGGGGGTGACGCACACTCTGACAAACACAATTTCCAGTTGTTTTACTTTAAAACATAGAAAGAAAGAAAAAAAAAAAGTCGTTAACTCTCGAGTGTTGAAGAACAAGATTGTAATTAATATAATCTTACAGCCATTATTTACATAACTTAAAGACAATTTTTTTAAATAGTAGAGGGTTTTACGGCGCTCGCAACTGCATAAGGTCATATGAGCGCCAGAAGATTAGAGGTGTCACTAGAGAGTAACAAACATAAAAAGAAGACAGGGAGATAAGGACGATAGATGTTTCCCAGGAAAGAAGAAGCAAACCACACCAGAGCACCCGTCAACCACCCACGAAGAATTAGAGGTGTTACAAGAGAGTAACAAACATAAAAAAAGAGAAGAAGGGGAGATAAGGACGATGTTTGATAGGAAAGGAGCAAACCACACCAGGGCACCCGCCAACCACCCACTTCCACACTCAAGAATCAAGAAGAGATCTTAGTCTTCGACAGAAAAGATGTCCTTAGAGTAAACATAAGCGCACGCAATGTACCCAACTGAACACCTTCCACATCCAGGAATCAAGACGAGATCTTAGTCTCCCAACAGAAAAGATGTTATAGTAATCGTAAGCACGTCGACACGCCAGAAGTCATTTAGACTACACAGCAACAACAACAACAACAACAACAACAACAACAACAACAACAACAACAACAACAAGTAAAAGTAAAACAGAGAGAGAGAAACAACTTACAGACAGACAGAGAATATATATAAACAAGACACCTACAAGAGGTGCCCTTTAACCAACAATTCAAATCTTCTGAGACACTCAAAATGTTGTAACCATATAAAATGTATCCTTAATATTCAGTACAGCACTGTGCAATCCATAATTCATCCTCTATATATATTACCCCCCCCCCCCACACACACACACACATCCACCCCCTCGCCCCTTCCCCCCAACCTGCAAAATTGATCCACTCTGTACATCCTTTTTATTCCTGACACCATCATTTTTGTACCTTACCCTCTGATCTCATATCATATAACATTGGCCTTGATGCCTTTCATTTGTACCTTACACTTCTGTTCTCATTTCATATAACATTGGCCTTGATGCCGTTCAATTTGAATAAAGGCCTCATCTAGAAAATCCCAGAAAAAATTAACTTGGGCCAATTGCCCAAGAAGAATGGCACACCTATAACATTGGCCTTGATATCTTTCATTTGAACACATGGTTCATCTACAAAATCCGAGAAATTAACTTGGGCCAATTGCCCATGAATGACACACCTATAACATTGGCCTTGATGGCTTTTTATTTAATTTGAACGAAAGACTTCATCTGGAAAACACCAGAGATTAACTTGGGCAAATTGCCCAAGAAGAATGGCACATCTATAACACTGGCCTTGATGGCTTTTACTTAATTCGAACGAAAGACTTCATCTGAAAAAACAACACCAGAAACTAATCTGTGCGATTGCGACACCGACCTCGTTTGTAGACTTGAGTAGTTTTGCGATGAGTTTCCTCACGGAGACCAGCTTGGCCTTGGCCTCCTCACACTCTTGTTTGCGCAGGGACGCCTCAGTCTGGAAGTTACTGACCAGCTGGAAGGACATACATACATAGGGGGTACTTCGTTAATTCGGTTGGACTGCGAGTGTGTGTGAGTGGGTGTGAGTGTTTGTGCATGTGTGTATGTGTGTGTGTGTGTGAGTGAGTGAGTGTGCGTGTGCATGAGCATGTGTGCGTGTATGAGCATGTGTGTGTGCGTGTGTATGTATGTGTATGTGTGTGTGTGCGTGTGTATGTGCATGTGAGTGTGAGTGTGTGTACGCCTGCGTGTGTATGTGTGAGAGAGAGAGAGAAGGAGAGTGTGTAGCGAAATGGGTGTGAGAAGAGGATGGGAGAGAGGAGAGAGAGAGGGGGGGGAGGGAGGATAGGGTGGGAGAGAGAGAGAGAGAG